ACCCTGGAATCAGGGTAATTACCCTGATAAAATCAGTCCTGCTCTGAGGGTTGACTCGCTAATGCTTCGATATGTTTCGCTTCGCTTCTGACTTGGTGTTTCGACACGACAGAGGCGCTAAATCAATTGTTTCCAACAATAGGTGCAGGTGGGCTTACTGTAGGGTGTTGCGCTTGCACCCACATGGAACAAATGATGATATTTTTACACCCTTTCCATTATTATACTTCAATGAAGACCCAGGGGACCTCCAGCCTGGAGATCACAGTATGGAAACATCCTAGAAAGAAATTACACAATTCAACCACTGCAGCAAAATAACAATGAGGGTACATTCCGCTGTGGACACTGTCCCAATCGATGTGTCCCAATCACGATTTGGGCGAGTCGCACTCAAATGTCTCGAGTTTGCATGTCCCAATCGATCGATGTATTGCGACTCTGTACAGACGCGCGACAATTATGTGCGAACCACTGTGATTGGTCAACGAATAATCATGCCCACTCGTCCTTGCGCAGCACGTACACCAACGCCTCCAGGTCCGCGGTAGTGTATTGGTGATGTCCAGGGAGGCCGGGGAGGGTACAGTACTCCTCCGCAGTGCCAATAATTGCCTCAACGGCACATACATCTGCAACTCCTCTTCTAGTACGTGAGTTTTTATGATCAAACATAGCACAGACACCATTACTACACACGCCGAATCCACGCATGATGGCAGAGCCTAGAGCCATCCCCTTCATCCTACGCCTCCTCGTCGCCTGGGTCACCTACTACTACACCATTTTCTACGAAAATGTCGCGAAGTCCTTCGTAGGCCTCATAGAGTCCGGTGTGTTTGAGGACGCGGACGAGCAGTCCTCATCGTCCGGGGACGACACCGGGGAGAACCGCCGTCACAGAGCGAGTGTACGGCGGCGACGTCATGCTTTGTGGGTTGAAGACCTGCAACACATGCGGGAGAACGACTTCCGAGACAGATTCAGGATCAACCGCGCCATACTTGAGCATGTAAAGTCTGGGATGCGACAATATCTAGAGCCCATCGTCCATCGGTCGATAATCACAATGGACACTGCTTTGCTCATCCCAATAAAGTACTTGGCGAGTGGGATTTCATTCGTCGACATGTCGTACCTGTTCGGTGTCTCCAAGACACTCTGCCTCGAGCTTGTTGACGTGTTCCTCACCGAGTTCCCCTCTGTCTTCAAGGCCGCCTGGGTGCGCTTTCCCACACGCGATGAACTTCCCGAGATGGCGCGTGAATTCGCTGCCATCAAAGGTGTACCTGCAGCGGTGGGGGCTGTGGACGGGACTCACATCCACATGAAAGGGATGGAAGGGCACAGGGCGGAGTACTGGACAAGGAAGTCGGCCTACGCCGTTCAGCTCCAAATCACGTGTGATGCACGAGGCAGGATATGGGATTACCTCATCGGCTATCCCGGCAGCGCGCACGACATGCGGGTTTTCAAAGAGTCTGCACTACTCGAGAGGTTACACAACGGGGACATAGCCCCATACCAGATTGTTGGGGATGCGGCCTACCCGCTACGAGAATACTGCCTAACCCCCCTGCATGCACCGCGCGGAGAGGTCCTAATGGACGATTGGGCCCAATGTTTCAACTACTGCCAGAGCGCCACCCGCATGGCGGTGGAACGGTGCATCGGCGCCTTGAAAGGGAGATGGCGCATCTTCGGCGGGCGCAACGACTGCAGGTTGTGGCGCACTCTCGCAGGAGCCGCGTGTTGTGTGATCCTGCACAGCTTGTGTGAAGAGATGGCAGTCGTTAGGCGCAAGAACATGGCCTGGTTCAATCTGCCCCGCAACCGCGACTCTTGGTGGACACGGGGTGCCATTGCGACACACAAGTGGGAACCCTGTGTTCCCCCAACACAACAAGCACTGAGAGAGAGGCGGAAAAGACTGGGTGAGGCCCTGCAGGACTCTTACGCTAATCGTCGGCGCCGCGCACCCATATCTCCACATCCTCAGCACCCGGAGTGACGGTGTTGACGTCGCCAACATCGTCGCCATGCTGTGCGGCTTCGGGAGGAGGTGCGGCTACCAGGACAGTGCGCCCCGGACTACAGGTGCTGCGGACGACAAGACAGCAGCCTCCGCTCAACCTCCTCCAACTGTCCCACACACCCCCCACACACCCACTGCTTCACTCCTAACTCCACTTGCACGTCACCCCCCTAGTACCACTCCTTCGGCTCCCACACACCCACCCCCCTCAGCGGCAGCTGCAGCACTGGGAGACGGAGGAGGAGGAGGAGTAGGGGACGACGCACAGAAACTGCACCCCCATACCCCCCACCCCCAAACCCTAATTCAGGAGAACGGGCAGCAGCAGGGGTGGGGCGCCGTCAGAAGCACGGGGGACAGCGGGCAGCGCAGGGGCAGAGAAAACAGGGCGCCCACGGGCCTGGCGCAGCCCGTACGAACCGCGTGCGGGCGGCCCGAGGCGCGCCCTGGCCTGGCGCAGTCCGTACGGGCCGCGCGCGGGCCTGGCGCTGCCCGTACGGGCCGCGCGCGGGCCTGGCGCAGCCCGTACGGGCCGCGCGCGGGCCTGGCGCAGCCCGTACGGGCCGCGCGCAGGCTGTACGGGCCGCGCGCGGGCCCTACGCAGGTCGCGCAGGCCGCGACGGGCGACGGGGGGCGACGCGCGGGTCCCCGTCGCCCGTTGCAGCGCCTCCCGGGAGCGACGCGCGGAGTGACGGGGCAGAAAGCCGCCGCGCGCCTCGGGGCGCACGGCGGGCAGAAAACCGCCGCGCGCCTCGGGGCGCACGGCGGGCAGAAAACCGCCGCGCGCCTCGGGGCGCACGGCGGGCAGAAAACCGCCGCACGCTCCGAGCGCGCGGCGGGATGAAAAATCCGTCGCACGCCACGGGGCGTGCAACACACAGAGTAGCAGTAGCAGCGGAAGCAGTGAGGTGGTGGGCCCACCCACAGGATCGACCCAAGGGGATCGACCTGCTCTGATAGCATGTCAGAACTAGCAGTAGAAAGTAAGAATGAAGAAAGGAGGAGGTTCACTAGCAAGCAGTTGAGTACATATAGGAAACCCTAGATTGGGCTGTACTCGCTATAGAGTACCCCACTGCAGGCTAGACAAATACAACATTCTGACACGGACTCCCCGCGTGGCGGAGGAGGGCTGAAATCCGGCGGCGCACGGTGCACGTCCGGGGGCGCCGATTCAGTCATGCGCTCGCGGGCAAGTCGCATGTCCTGCGCCATCCATTCACGGACGAGGCTCTCAATGCGCGTCATCGCGTCTCCGTGACAATCCTTGATGGTCGCGGAGACCAGCTTGGCTGCTTGCATGGTAGCCGTCTCGTGCACCCGTGCGCGCCTAGGTGTTGCGGTGGTGGTCGGCGGCGGCGGAGCTGTGATAGAGGAGCGGGGAAAATAGTAGTTTCGATTAGTCCGACTACCCTTGTTTGAAGAAACCTGCATATTGGCGAATAAAATAAACGGAATCACCGTATTCAAACTACGATAAGTCAAACGCAAAGCAAGCTAGAGTTCATAACAACACGACTCACCCGTAAATGTTGGTGTTGACGTGCCTGGCTGAGACGAACTTGGAACCTCCGTGCCGGCCGGCACGTTGACGTCCGTGGCGCCGCCGCCGTCCACCGCATGCGGTGCGGCTGCGGCGGTGTCCTGGTTGTGCAGCTCCAGGTACGGATACCACGGTGGTTTCTCAACCGAGCCGTGGCCTGACCCCCCGTCGCCACGCTTGTACTCCCGCCAGAGGAGCGTCAAGTTACGCCACTGCTTCTACAACGCGTTGACACCCCTGCACCATCCAGGGTTCGACTCCTTGATGTGCGCGAGTAGTCGGACCCAGTATTGCGTCCCCTGCTTCCCCTTGAGAGGCTCGAGCTCCTCTTTCATGAACCACTTCGCCGCGGCGAATATGGTGCTCTCCTTGTCCGACCATAAGCCCCTCTCGACTGGTGCAGCCGACCGCTTCTTCCGTGGCTCCTGGCGTGGCGGTGGTGGCGCCGCCTTGCCTTTGCCTTTGTTCGTCCCAGATGCGCGTGCGGCGCTCCGTTTCGTAGTCACAGACACAGGTTGCGCTTCCTCCTCCGCGTCGTCCTCGGCGTCCTCATCTTCGTCGTCGCCGTCGCTGGGCGACATCCCAGCGTCTTCCGGTTCCTCCTCGTCGTCGTCGGTGTCGAGGCCTTGTTCGGGGTCGTCATCATCGTCATCGTACGCATCTTGCTCCACGACAAGCCGGTGTGTTGCAGCCGTCCTTGCAGGCTGACGACGCACACGTGACATGGCCGCACTGGGCGACTGTGCGGTGGATCCCTGGCCGTCAAGCACGGGCGGCGCGGATAATCCCTTCGGATGGTGCCCGTTGGCGATCTGCTGGTTCATCCAGCGGATGTAAGGGATGTCGTCAAGATCCTTGGGGCAGTCGTTAAGGGCCTGCCCCTTACGATTACGAGCCATGCTGGCAAATAGAGTGCTTCTAGATCTAGATCTTTAGGGAGCGGGAGCGGAGAAAAATGAACAGATTGGAACAGGAAGGATGGTGCACGAAGATGAACCCGCAAGGTGTTGGGAGGTGGAGGAGTTGTGGGGAAGGAGCATTGGAGCTGGGGGAAGGCGCGCTGGCGGGGACGTGCGCGTCCCTGTCAATAATCCCGGGTGTGTCGTCTGGACCAATCACTACGCAGTGTACGCGTTGATGGGGATAGTGGGTTTTGGGGAGATGTCGTCTAGATACATGCTGCATGTGTTGACATTTGGCACCACGTGCGACTGATGGATTGTGTTGCAATTAGCTGGCAACTGCTCCGTGTTTCACGTCCCCCAATGATAAATACATTTGGCGACAACCACGGGCGGCCCGGCATTCTGACACCTGGCAGCATATGCTGTACGTACGCGTCACAATCGATTGGGACACATCGATTGGGACAGTGTCCACAGCGGAATGTACCCTGAATACTATATCAAACAAACACCAATGTCATGCCATTGAGCGAATGAGCTCATTAATTTCAACTCCTCTGTTCCCAGCCTCCCCTCCCTTGTTGAACCAACCGCCCTTGCTGAACTTGCCCCTGGGGGCAGCGAGGCGGAAAGGCCAAAGAAAGCCAGTCACTTGCAGGAAGTGCGGCCCCACTGTAGCGATCTCGTGAATCAAATCCTCGATACAGATGATGCCTGTGCTGCCCAGCGCCTGCAGGGAGCGGAGCAAGAGCGAGGGGCATGAGGCAAAGCAGCAGAGGAGTGTGAGAACTTGAAGGGGGGGGAGGAAATGGAGAACCAGCACTGGGTTTACAGAGTTGTCAGTGAGGGGCACTCGCCGCCACCCCTTGGCCTCTTCCGCTGCACCCACTGGCCCCGTCCACCCCACCATCCCCTCCGCCTTCCTATGCACCCCCACCACCACCTCTGCCTTCCCATGCAGGTTCTAAAGTGCATCAAACAGGCAACTACCAGCTCACCTGTTCTACAATGGCGTTGTCAGTGAGGGGCACTCGCCGCCACCCCTTGGCCTCCTCTGCTGCATCCACCGGCCCTGTCCACCCCACCATGGCCTCCGGCTTTCTGGGTACCCCCACCACCATTGCCCCACTCCCTCCTGCCCCTTCTGAAGCCGCCACCTCCCTTGCTTCCACCTCGTTGGTCTCTCCCTCCCCTCCCTCCTCCCCCTCTGCTTCCTCATCCCCCTCCTCCTGCTCCTCCCCTTCCCCTGCATTTTCCCCCTCTTCGCCCTCCTCCCCCTCGTCGTCGCCTTCCCCCTCCTCTTGCTGCCGTATGCGTGCCACGCCTCGTTTCATTATGAGCGCACGCACTGATGACATGTTGGGGAACCTTGGGGGGGGGTGGGAGTATGCAGAGGGGTGATGCGGGAAGATGGGGGAAGGAGGGGGGTAAGGGGGGAGGGGGAGTCAGGGAAGTGCGCCACGCCTCGTTTCATTATGAGCACGCGCGCTGATGAAAGGTTGGGGAACCTGGGGGATGGGGGAAAGTGTGTGGGGGGGTGGTGGGGAAACGAGGATAAGGGGAAGTGAGTGCAGGTTGGGGAACCTGAGAGGAAAAAGAGAGAGCCGGAAGGAAAGGGTGAGAAACATGCAAAACTTAAGGCTGGTATATGGAAAAGAGCCAGGGAGAGAGAGGAGGGAGGAGAGCGGAAAGAAAGTGAGAGGGAGACAGGGGAGAAGAGAGTAAGAGGGAGAGTGAGGGTGGGGAGAGAGGGTGAAAGAAAGGGAGGGAACGGAACACAGGAGAGGGAACCGAGAGAGAGGAAATTGGAAGGGGGTGGTGGTGGTGTTACCATAGAGAGTGCAGGCGGGTGGGCGGGAGGGAGAGAGGGAGGGAGGGAGGAACGGAGGGAGGGAGGGAGGGAGGGAGGGAGGGAGGGAGGGAGGGAGGGAGGGAGGGAGGGAGGGAGGGAGGGAGGGAGGGAGGGAGGGAAGGAGGGAGGGAGGGAGGGAGGGAGGGAGGGAGGGAGGGAGGGAGGGAGGGAGGGAGGGAGGGAGGGAGGGAGGGAGGGAGGGAGGGAGGAACGGAGGGAGGGAGGAACGGAGGGAGGAACAGAGGGAGGGAGGAACGGAGGGAGGGAGGAACGGAGGAAGGAACGGAGGGAGGGAGGGAGGGAGGGAGGGAGGGAGGGAGGGAGGGAGGGAGGGAGGGAGGAACGGATGGAGGGCGTACCCGAAGGTGACATATGGTTCGACGAGTTGCAGCATTTGAGCCGTGCGGTCCGTGGCGCGGAGGAAGACACCCGAGTTGAGCTGCAGAGAGGTGAGTGAGGGAGGGAGGGAGGGAGGGAGGGAGGGAGGGAGGGAGGGAGGGAGGGAGGGAGGGAGGGAGGGAGGGAAGGAGGGAGGGGGGGAGGGTGGTGGGAAGGAGTGGTAAGCGAGGGGCGCATTTGAGCCGTGCGGTCCGCGGCTCGCAGGAAGACACCCGAGTTGAGCTGCAGGGAGGTGAGTGAGGGGGGGAGAGAGAGAAAGAGAGAGAGGGAGGTGTGCAGGGGGAGAGGTGTGCGGATAAGGAGGGAAAGAGGGGACGGAAGGAGCGGACGACAATTAGGGCGCGTGTGTGGGGGAATGCCTTGGGGACTCAACAGCCAACTGCGCGGATCCAGTCATTAACAGCGGCAGCAGCGGCGGCGGCGGCGGCGGCGGCGGCAGCAGCAGCAGCAGTGTGGTTACCTCTGTGAGTCGGAGCATCTTGAGTATACTTCGCGACTGCTTCGTCATTTCGTGTTGCACCCTGCACGCACGTACAGGCACACAGATACGAGAGGGGATATTTGGGCTGGCCATCTCGAAGCAAACAATGGCGAATATGTGTGACAGTACGCAGTGTGTGACAGTGCGCTGTGTGACAGTATGCAGTGTGTGACAGTGCGCTGTGTGACAATATGCAGTGTGTGACAGTGCGCTGTGTGACTGACATTACGCTGCAACCCTCACTCATCCCCACCCTCTCCTATCCACTCACCCTCTCTCCTCTCTGTCATTCACCCTCTACTCTCCCCCACCCCTCCCCTCTCCCCTCACCCTCTCCCCCCCACCTCATGCTCCCCCACTCACCCGCGGATCCGCACGGCAAACAGCAGCTTCAGGTTCGTTCCCGCCAAAACGCCCCCCTTCTCATCCCCCTTCCCCGCTGCGCCCATCCGCTCCACCGCTTTCTGCGCGGCCTTCAGCTTCCGCCGCGCCATCCTCCGCTGCGCCGCGCTCCCCCCGCCCGCCACCACAGGCTTCAGCTGCACCCGCCGCCCCACCACCCGGTCCGCGCGCACGCGCTTAGCATCGCGCTCCTGTTGCGCGGACGTGGGAAAGCGGAAGCGGAAGCGCGCGGGGAAAGGGAGGGAGGGGGGAAAAGCGGGGAAGTTGACTCAAATGCCTAACACCGAAACCACGCGTTGCCCCATCACGTGTTACCAGCCATGAGCGTCGCTCTCGTTGCAAGGAGAACGGACAGGAGGGAGGGGTGGGTGGGAGAGAACCGGTGGTCACCTAAACCCGAACCTCCCTGGATTCTAAAACCCTGGTATTCGAACCAGGGGCAGTCCGCACCACCCTCCCAGTCATCAGCATCCACCGACTGCTGGCACGTAAACCCTAAATATGCAGCCCTCGGTCCAGCGAGTCATTCAAAGACACCCCCCTGCGCGCCGAGCCTTGCATAAGGGTTTAGATAAATCTGCGACGCACGCCGACGCAACCTAAGTGTAAGGCTGTACACGCCGCGCCTGTCCTAAACGTGCGGCCCTTTTTCGCAAATATCCGCAAGATCATCAGTCCGTCGAGCTGGCGCGCGCATACCCTTCCCTCCACACGCGTGAGTTGCGGCGTGAGTGGCGCGCCGCTGGACCGCGAAACCCGGTCAGCTATTTTCTAATAGAATGTTGAAACAGTATGACAGAAGGTTGCGTTAAAAAAAAAGGAGAAAACTCCCGGCAGAGGAATCCGCAACCGCGCATGCTGACCCCCCCGCGCGCACGCACCCTCCGGCGGAACGCGAGCACGAAGTCCTCTGGGCGCTTGAAGCGCTTCTCCGCCTTTCCGCGCTTCCCGCGGTGCGCGTGCTTCTGCAGGAACTGCTCGCGCTTCTCCGCCGCGAACTGCTCGTCCTTCTTCCGCTTCTTCAGCACCGTCTCCGGCACCGTCGGTAGCACGCGCGGCGGCTGCAGCTCCTCCGCACTCATGGCGCCTGGCGGCGGACTGAGCGGGGGATCGGCGGAAGACTGGCGGAAAACTGGCGGAAGGCTGGCGAAAGAAACCAGCGGAAGATTAGCGGCGGAGTGGCAGAAGAAGGGTACGGCAAGGCTAAGGGGACGAAGGTAAGAACGGGCTACGGGAAGTGGGGGAATAATAAAGAGTAGGAGCAGAATGGAAAGGAGCGAGATCAAGCGAGTGGGTGGTATTTCCGAGGTTCGATTCGATATCTGCAGGTCTCCTCTTTTTGAGAGAGCAAGTTTAGTACATTGTACAACAAATCGTCCACGCTAACTAGTAATTTCACCATGTTCTTGCATCAAGGTTTTGATGCGGTAATGATATCTAGAATAATAAAATTATTCGCAGACACATAATTTCGTTACACAAATAGGATGCACAATAGAAATTAAACTTTCTTAGAATTTGTTGCCTACGACATAAACCTAGCTAAGCCATGCCGTACACACCTAGAGTAGAACCCCAGAGAGCACAATCAGCTTCCAACCAGCAATTGGAGGACCCTTAGAAGAAGCACCTGCCACACCAATTTCTAGCAGCTTTACATCGCTGGTGGAATTAAACAGCAGCAGCAGCAGCAGCAGCAGCAGCAGCAGCAGCAGCAGCAGCAGCAGCAGCAGCAGCAGGTGCAGGTGCAGGTGCCCTCCTGAATCCTCCTCCTAGTGCCTTCATGTATCACCCCCCCAAGCTTGCTTCCTCAACCCTCACCCCAGCAAGGCTGAGATTCTCTTACTTCCAGCACCCCCCCTCACACAATCTCCAGCAGTTGGGTAATCCCAGTGGAGTTCCCATCGCTGCATCCCCCCTTCCTCCGTGTCAGCGCCCCTCATACCACTGTGCTCCCACCTCTGCATCCCCCCTTCTCCTCCCTGTTACAGAACCGCCCCTCACACCATTCCCATCAGCAGACAGCCCACCTGGCCCCCACTCTCTCCCCTTTCTCTCTCTTTCCCTCCCCCCATCCTCACACCATCTCCAGCAGTTTGATGTTCCCAGTAGAATTCGCAGCAACGAGTGTCTGAGAGTCACCCCGCCAGCACACGCTCGACACAAACTGCCCCGCGTCCTCCTCCGTGTCCGCGCCTGTGACCGGATCAACCCCCACAAAGCGGTGTGCTGCCATAGGCATTGGCAGCGACTTGTGGAACGCAAACACCTGGGAGAAGAGCGATGATGGGGAGGGAGATGGATCGGAGACAGGCGGAGAGGGGGTGTGTGATTGGGCACAAATGGACAGTGAAATGGAATGCTGATGTCAGATCGTGGAACAACAGTGAGAGCCACAATGGGTTTTGAGGCGCCTCAAATGAGTGAGCCAGAACAGGATGGTGGCGCACACAAGGAGTGGTGGAGGGGAGTCGGGACAGAGAATGCCGCACGGCACGGCTCAAGGCATGCAAGGAAGACCAGTCCTCATGAGCACAGAGCATCCGTTTTTTGAGAATTCTCAAAAAGGAAGACCAGTTCTCGTGAGCACAGCGCATACCTCGTTGGTTTCGGAGCCGCATGCGATGTAGCCATCAGCCACAGTGAGCCCCACAAAATTCTGCCGGGATAGGGAGAGATGGGAGGTGGGGGGAGCACGACGCGAGGTCAGAGAGGAGAGGTGCGAGACAGGAAGAGTGAGCCGCATGCGATGTAGCCATCAGCAACCGTGGGCCCCACAAGGTTCTGCCGGGACAGGGAGACACGGGAGGCACGGGGAGCAGCACGGGGCATGAGGAATGAGCAACGCTACAGGCGGATGACCAACACTGACTGAGCTCCACCACGCTATGCCAGGACAGGGAGACACGGAAGATGGGAGATCGCGATGTGAGGTCGGAGGGGAGTTCTGCGGCGCCTCAAAACTCGTAACCACCAGCTACAGTGAGCCCCACGTGATTCCGCCGAGACAGAGGGACACGAGAGCTGGGGGGGACGCAATGTGAGGATGGGAGAGGGACAGGAGAGATAGAAGGTGACAAGCAAGAGACGAATGAGCGAAAAGCAAGAAACAGGCGAAAGAATAACCCTGGCATGAGAACAAGTGAGTTATAAACAAACAGGTGGTCGTGACAGCAGCAGTTGACATAACAGCACTTGATGGCCCACCAGCTACAAAAGCCACACCATACCATACCATACACCACCACAGACCACCTTCTCATTGGTGTGCCCCGTGAACGTCCTCGTGCAGGCAGAGCCCCATCCGCCCCACTCCACCCCCCGCCTGCTGACTACACGCACTGTTCAGATCCCACAGCTTGAGAGTATTGTCGGTTGAGGCGGACACATGAACCCTTAAGAACCACCCACCTTCTCATTGGTGTGTTTTTTGAGAATTCTCAAAAAACACACACATGAACCCTTAAGAACCACCCACCTTCTCATTGGTGTGGCCAGTGAACGTCCTCGTGCACGCAGAGGCCCCATCCGCCCCACCCCCCGCCTGCTGGCTGCATGCTTGGTTCAGGTCCCACAGCTTGAGAGTATTGTCCGTGGAGGCAGAGACAATGGTGGAAGCGTCGACGAATTTCACGTAGCTGACAGCCTTGCTGTGGCCCGTGAGCGTGGCGAGGGGCGCGCGGAGCGAGCGCAGGTCGAAGCAGTGGAGCGAGTAGTCGGCCGAGCCGAGGGCGAGCAGGTGCGAGGAGTGCGGAGGGAAGGCGACCGAGCACACGTTGGCCTTGGTGTGAATAGTGCCCACACTCGTGTCCTAAAGAGGGGAACGGGGGGGGAGAAGAGGGAGATGGGGAGAGGGGGAGCAGGAGTGGGGAGGAGGGCCGGGGGAGCGGGGGGGAGAGGCACGATTGTGAATAGAGCAAAGAAATGCCAAGAGAGACGAGTGGAGGGAGCAAAGGAACACACGTTGGCCTTGGTGTGAATTGTGCCCACACTCGTATCCTGAGGGGTGAAGGGGGGGAGAGGGGGAGATGCAGAATGGAGGAGGGGAAGAGAGGTGGGGAACGGGTAGGAGTGGCAGAAGTGTGAATAGAGCAAAGAAATGCTCGAATGTGCTTGAAACGAGCATGACTAAGGAGAGGGAAGGGTATAAGAGAAGGTTAGCAAACCAAAGCCAATGATCGTACGGCGCATGGTGCACAACAAGCCCTCGCTTCATGAAGTCAGTACCACACCTGGTCAACCTGCTCCAACCAATCAGGATGCCCCACCTGGGTCACGCCCCACCTGGTTGATGCTCCACCTGGTTCGACCTTCTCGGACCAATCAGCGCGCCCCACCTGGTTTGACCTTCTCGGTCCAATCAGGACAACCCACCTGGTTGATGCTCCACAGCTTGACAGTGCCGTCATCGCTGCCACTGGCAAGGCGCGTGGGGTCGCAGGGGGAGAAGTCTACACTCCATGCCCGCTTCCCGTGCTCCCCCCACTCCATCACCGCTGCCCCTGTGCCCGCATCCCAGAGCTGGGGGGGATGGGTTGGAGAAGGGGGTGGGAAGTGCAGGGGGGAAGAGAGGAAGGACAGAGGGGAAGGGGAGAGGGGAAGGGGAGAGAGGAAGGAAAGAGGGGAAGAGGAGAGGGGAAGGGGAGAGAGGAAGGGAAGGCCAGTGAGGAGTGCACTGAGGTGCCCCAAGGAGGGGTGGAAAGAGGGAGTCGCAGGGAGATCATTTCACACCCCACGCCTGCTTCTCGTGCCCCCCCCCACTCCACCACTGTTGCCCCCGTGCCGGCAGCTAGAGGGAGGGAGGGGAAGAGGAAGAGAAGGGGGCACAGGGTGGAGGGTGATGTGAAGCATGGAGCATGGAGGATCGCTGGCGCCCCACGAATTGCAGGCGGGACAGGAGGGCGGTGGTCATGTGCAGTGAGGTGAGGTGAGGTGAGGTGAGGTGAGGTTCCCCAGGCAATGCTCTACACTCGCTTCTCCTGCTCCCCCCACTGCTTGCTCACTTCACACCGCTTCTGCCCGTTGCACCATGCTCGCCATCCCACCCCCACCTCCTCCCCCCCAATCCCAACGCTCACCTGCACCACCCCATCATAATCAGCAGAGGCGAGCCGATGTTTTATATACCCGTTCCAGCTCACACACACACAACAGCTTGGCTCTGCACCCCATCTCCACCACCGGATAATGCACATCCACTCACCCCGTCTCCTCTTCCTCTACCCCCTACCCCCCCAAATGCTCACCTGTACAACTCCATGATAGTCCGCGGAGGCCAGTCTATTCTTGATGTACCCGTTCCAGCTCACACACGACCGCTTGGCCCAGCAACCCAACACCCCAGTGTTCCCACTCAAAACCCCCCAGCTTCTCTCCCTTCCCCACCTCACTGCTCACCTGTACAACTCCATCATAGTCAGCAGATGCGAGCCTGTTCTTAATGTAACCATTCCAGCTCACACACGACAGCTTCGCCCGACACCCCATCTCCACCACCGGATAGTGCACGTCCACGCGTCGCCCTGCCAGCACGCTCTCGCACTCAAAGATCCGAATCCGCCGACAGACGCCGCCCGTGGCGAAGAACTGCGCGTCGCGGTCGAAGGCGAGGGAGCAGACCATGGAAGCCGCGTTGAGGAGGTGCGCGTGGCGCAGCGTGGCACGCACTTCAAAGCGTGAGTAGCGGGCAAACTTGCAGAGCGAGTCGAAGAACTCGCCTAGGAGGTCCCTGCTGCCCTCGGCGCCTCCCTGCTGCTGCTCGTGCAGATGCTGCTGCTGCTGCTGCTGCTGCTGCTGCTGCTGCTGCTGTGGCGCTGCCATCGCTCCGCCTGCTCTTCCTGCCGCTGTTGCTGCTACTGCTGCTGCTGCTGCTGCTGCTGCTGCCTCACCTGCTGCTGCCCCACCTGCTGCTGCCTCACCTGCTGCTGCCCCACCTGCTGCTGCCCCACCTGCTGCTGCCCCACCTGCTGCTGACCCACCTGCTGCTTCCCGCCATGCACCAGCCACTGCCCCGGCAGCAGCAGTCGAAGCGGGTCCAGCTGCCCCGGCCTGCCGTGCCTCCATCTCTGGGCCTGCGCTTTCGCCTCTTCTCTCCTCTGCTTCCCCTTCCATCACCTCTCTTGGCCTCACCACACCCTGACTCGACTCATCATCCCCACCAATGCTGCCACCACCACCAACACCATCAATCCCACCTGCACCGCCAGCACTACTGCCGCCATCACCGCGACCACCACCACCAACACCGGCGCCAGCAGCAGCAGCGCGAGGGGCAGCAAGCGGCACAGCAGCATCGTTTGCAGGCAGAGCGGCAGCAGCAGCGGCAGCAGAGGCACTGGCACCGCCCCCCCTCCCAACAGGTCCCCCATTGGCCGCCTCTACCCGCCAGCGCATGGCGAAATACACCTCTTCCAACCGGTCCAGGTTACGCAATAACCGCACGCTCCTCCTCGCCCCCCGCGGCCGTCCCATGCCGAATGGAGCAGCAGGAACGCCAGCAGCACCGGCAGGAACCGAGGAAGGGAAATGCCGTGCCCCTTCTCGTGCCTCCTCCACTTCACCTGCTGGCCATCTCCCTCTCGCCTCTCGCCCTCCCCCACCCATGCTCACCACTCCACTCATGTCAGCAGCAGCAGCAGCAGAAGCAGCATGAGAGGGTGGGATGAGCCCAGGGCGGGGGGAGCGAGGGGAAAAGGCACCCCAAAGGTCCCTCTCTGCGCCTCCACTCATGTCACTCCCACCCTCCCTCCCACCCTCCCAGCCCATCTCCCTGCGGCCCCCTCTGCCGCCTTCCCGCTCCTCTACCGTCTGTGCTGACGGGGCCGGCAGCATGAGCGGCTGAGACTGCGCCTGAGACTGCCCCTGCTGCCTCTGAGACTGCCCCGATCCATGTGCGTGCACCTGCCGCCCTTGCCCCTGCCGCCCGTGCTCGTGCCGCCCGTGAGCCTGCTGGCCGCCCATCACCGCCGCCCGCCTGCGGTGCACCTCGTGAATATCTCCAGTCAGCCGCCCGAGATCCAGGGCGAGTTTCTGGGCGGCAGACTGCTTGGCGAGGTGGATGCGGGAGAGGAAGGCGAGTAACACGTCGCACTCCGCCTCCTGTGCCTCTAGGCCCGCCTGCTGGCCCCTGTGGGCGAACATGCTCGCTACATCTGCTAGAAGTTGACTGCTGCGCACCTCCCTGAGAGAACAGGCAGGGAAGACAGAACAAGGTAGTAGTTGAAATGAGTGGAGAGGAAGGCAGGCAGCACGTCGCACTCCGCCTCCTGTGCTTCTAGCCCCGCCTGCTGCCCCCTGTGCGCGAACATGCTTGCCACGTCAGCCAATAACTGGCTGCTGCGCACCTCCCTGCAAGGGTTGGAGAGAAACAGGTGGGGAACAGAGCAGGTGGGGGAGATGGTACGAGACAGGTGTTTAAAACGAGCCCGGAAGGAGGCGAGCAGCACGTCACACTCCGCCTCCTGTGCTTCCAACCCCGCCTGTTGCCCCCTGTGCGCGAACATGCTCGCCACGTCTGCTAATAATTGGCTACTGCGCACCTCAGTGCATGGGTTGCGGAGAAACAGGTGGGGAGAACATGAGTTCGAAGAGGGGGCGTCAAGAGGGGGAGGGCGTCAAGAGGGGGAGGGCGTCAAGGAGGAGGGGGGGGGGGCGTCAAGGGGTGGGGGGGTGGAGGGGATGAACGGCGGGCGACGGCACATGGTTGGGGAGGCGAGTGTGGGGGGCAGGGCACGGGGTGGGGGATGCAAAGGTGCTCGCGAGGCGGAGGGGCAGGCGGAGGGCTGGGGGTGCAGCAGGCGGCGGGCAGAAGGGTTTCGCTGGGGTGGTTGGAGAGAGGTGGTGGCAATGGATAAGCGGGGTCAAGGAGCTATCACGAGACATTGGGGTGCTGAGAAGGCGTTAGGGGACTCATGATGCTGTGGGGCGCGCGGAGGGCTGTGGTGCAGCAGCCAGAGGCAGAAGGCGGCCTCCTTGGGGCGATAGGCGAGAGGTGGCAGCAATGGATGAGGGTCAAAAAGCGGGGAAATCAAGGATTCCGGGCGGATAGAGTGCTTACGAGGCAGTTGGGCGCGCGGAGGGTTGGGGGTGCAGCAGCCAGAGGCAGAAGGCGGCCTCCTTGGGGCGATGGGCGAGAGGTGGCAGCAAGGGATGAGGGTCAAAAAGCGGGGAAATCAGGATTCCGGGCGGATAGAGTGCTTACGAGGCAGTTGGGCGCGCGGAGGGTTGGGGGTGCAGCAGCCAGAGGCAGAAGGCGGCCTCCTTGGGGCGATGGGAGAGGAGGCGCGGCGGCAGGATGCGATGGCAGAGGTCCGCCATTATCATGCTCCTCTCCGTGGCGCTCGTGAATGGACAGAAGAGCTGGTGTGGGGGGGTGAGGGGAAGAGGGAAGGAGGGGGGAAAGAAGGAGGACGGTAGGATGGGAAAAAAGGGGGAGAGGAGTGCTTGAATAACTTTTGAGAACCCTCAAAGTGAAAAGGGGGGAGGGGAGTGATCAGAGAGAGGAGAAAGAGCAAGCGGAAATCACATACGGCACGGCGTGAACAAGAACGTGCGTGTGCCATTGAAGCATGCTAAAGGGCGCTGAAAGATAGGCCAGCTGCTGCCACAGCTCCACCTGAAAACGAGTCCACAGGAGATAAGGACACACCCATCACTGAGAATGCAAGCAGCCCTTTCTCACAGCCCTTTCTCACAGCCCTCTCTCTCAGCCCTTTCTCTCAGCCCTTTCTCTCAGCCCTTTCTCACAGCCCTCTCTCACAGCCCTCTCTCTCAGCCCTCTCTCTCAGCCCTCTCTCTCAGCCCTCTCTCACAGCCCTCTCTCTCAGCCCTCTCTCTCAGAAGAGGAGTCTCACCTCGAAGAAGAGCACGCCCAGCTTGAAGACATCAGACGCCGCCCCCACAGGGTGGAGGTTGGAGGTGCGACTCGCAACTCACCCCACTCACCCACCCCGCCCTCCCACCCCACTCACCCACCCCGCCCTCCCACCCCACTCTCACATCACATGTCCCACAGTCTCACCTCGAAGAAGAGCACGCCCAGCTTGAACACGTCCGACGCCGCCCCCACACGGTCGCCCCTTGCCTCCTCCGGAGACGTGTACCACCGCGCCTCCTCCTCCTCCGCCCTCCCCCACTCTCCCCCTCCGCCTCCTCCTCCGCCTCCCCACTGCATGTCCACTCCCCCTGGTTCAGCTGCCTCTGCCCCTCCAGCACCGGGGATTAATCGCTGCTGCCCTGCAATACCCCGCCCTGCTGATGCTCGCTGTGCCCTCCCTCCCACTTGCCCCTGCGCCAGATGCCCCTGCCCCTGCCCCTGCGCTATCATACCCTCCTCCCCTTGCTCCTGCAGCATTGCCCGCTGCCATGCCTCCGCCTGCTGCTCCCTCCACGTCGCTGCCCCCTCTGCTGCCCCTCCGCCTCCGCCCCCTTCCTCTTGCTGCCGCCACCCCTGCTGCTGCTGCCGCTGTTGCTGCTCCTCCTCCTGTTGTTGCTGCTGCTGCTGTTGCAGCAGCACCTGCCCTACACCACCCCCATCCCCCAACTCCTCTTCCCCCGCCTCCCCCTCCCCCGCCTCCCCGGCTCGCGCCCGCAGAAACGGTGGGTGAAACACCACCCTTCGATGCGCGGACAGGACAAAGCACGCCGGCCGCACGTGGCGAACCACGTGGCCCTGCGTGTGGGCGGCAGCGACCATGTCCACCACCTGCGCGAACAGAAACAGGTTCTCCAACCTATCCACCTCCCTGCCCGCCCGGTTCAACCAGTGCCGCAGCGACAGTAAAGGCTGAGGGGTCAGTGTGGCAGGGTCAACCCTGGGTTGAGGCGCGGCTGCTGGTGGGTCCAGCCTGGGAGGTGGCATGGCGGTTGGTGAGGAGAGGTGAGGGGGCGGAGGGGAGGGGTTTGTTGCAGCGCGGACGGGGGGAAGGGGTGGGGGTTGAAGGGCGGCGGGCGCGGATGGTGTGTGGGGGAGGTGGGGAGGAGGGTGGCGGAGGAAGGGTGGTTGATGCGCGGAGGAGGGGGCGGTGGTGGGTAGAGTGGCTGGGCCGTCTCTGCCTCTCCCAGGCGCACCAGCAGAAACAGCTGGTGCTGCTGCCACTGCTGCTGCTGCCCCGCCTGCTGCTCCTCTCTCTGCCATCCTATGCGTTTGCCTCAGCTGCTGCTGCTGCTGCTGCTGCTGCTGCTGTGGGGGTGGTGGTGGTGGCAGAGGCTCGTGGCGTTGCTGCTGCTGTTGCGGCGGCTGCAGCCATTGCTGCTGCTGCTGCTGCTGCTGCTGCTGCCTGGGGCCTGCCGATGGCGCCTGCGGCCTTGCTGCTGTTGCCCCTGCTGCCCCGCCTGTCGCTGTTACCCCTCCGCCACGACCAGTACCCCCATCACCATCTGCAACAGCAGCGCCAGCCACCCTTCTGCCACCACCAGCGCCACCTGCGCCACTGCCTGGCTCATTGCCGCCCTGCACTCTCCCCCCTTCCCCCGCCATCCGTTGCTCCGCCTCCCCGCCTCCCATCTGCCTCACTTCCCCCTTCCCCCCTTTCCCCCCTCTCGCTACCCCACACACCACCGCCAAACGACTCCCCTGCCCCGCCCTGCCCCTCCCTCCCCCCTTTCCCCTCCCCATCTCCTCCCTCTCCGTCTCCCGCGCCCTTCCCCCTCCCCCTCCCCCTCCGCCTCCCCCTTCCCCCGCGCCTCCGCCACTCCCCTCCGACTCCTCAGTCTCGTCCAGCGAGCTCCCCGTACGCTCTCCCACGCCTGCGCCCATACCCCCCGCGCGGGAGGGCGCGCAGACGTTGGAGTTGCTGCGCAGCCCCTCCTCCGCGCGCCCCCCAAGTTGCTGCGTCGAAAAGAGGAACGGCCCCGTCACAAGCACACGCTCTGAGGGTACAGCAGGCGCGGGATACGCCCCATGCGCCCCATGCGCCCCATGCGCCCCATGCGCCCCATGCGCCCCATGTGCCCCCCAATGCACCCCATGCGCCACCCTTGCTCCCTCGCGCTCCCCCCAGCCCGTTTCTCCTGCCTCCTCCTCAAAACCACCATTACCACCACCATAACCATCACCACCGCCCGCAGCACCAGCCACACCAACATTACCACCTGCAGCAGCGCCAGCAGCCGCACCCCCTTGCTGCGCCCTGCGCCAGATTTCCGCCTGCACAACCGGGTGGAACCACCCCTCCGCCACCCGCGCAGGCTCACCCACCAGTGGCCTTGCGGCACCCATCACTGCTGCCCGGTTCTCACCTATCATTTGCCCCCACCCCGCAGCAACTGGCTCGTTCCACACCTCCGCGCCCATGCCCTCTCCCCCGTCATCCCGCCCCTCTCCTTGCTCCCACCCCGCTTCCCCTTCCCCCTCACCCTCCGCCGCCCCCTCCGCCTCCGCCCCTGCCTCCTCACCAGCCCCTTCGTCCACATCGCTGCCAGCCCGCCTTGCATCCGCGCGCGCAACCCCGTCCCCCAGCACGTCCCGCCGCCACCCCCCTACCGCCACCCGCTGCGCCGCCTCGCCTCTCACGCCGCCTGTGGGGGAAACTGCCCGCACTGGCGCTGCTGGCGGTGCTACCGCTGCTGCTGGCACTGCTGCCGTCGGTGCTCCTGCTACTACAACTGGAGACGATATTATCCTGCCAGCTGTATCCGCTGCCTGCTGCCCCACCTGCCCCTGTTGCCCCCGCCACCCAGCCGCGGCCCCAGCTACCGCCCACATCCTCTCCTGTCCCCCGCCACCCCCTGCGCCCGCCACACCCGCGCGCCCGTCCGCCCCCAGCGCTCCGCCCCGCCCCCTGCCTCCCCCGGGCGTCCCCCTATTAAGCTGCGCGCGCATGTCCCGCTGCAGCAGGCGCAAGTACTGGCGCTGTAGCTGGCGCTGCTGCTGCAGAAGGTCCACTCCGCCATGCGCGCCCTCCGCGCCCTCCCCGCCTCCGCGCATCAGCAGCGAGTGCTGCGCCGCTGCCAGCATCTGCCTGTGCTGCTGCAGCAACCGCTGCCGAATGCTCGCGCCCTCCCCCTCATGCTCCCCCCCTGCCTCCTCCCCTTCCTGCTCCCCCTCCTGCTCCCTCTCCTGCTCCTGCGCCTGCTCTTGCTCCTGTGCCTGCTCCTCCCCTTCTTCCTCCTCCCCTGGCTCCCCATGTTCCCCCTGTTCCCCATGTTCCCCCTGTCTCTGCACGCGCGCCTGATCCTGCGCCAGCTTCCGCTCACCCTCCCCCGGCCATCCTTGCCCAGCCCCTTGCCCCTCATATTGCAACCCCCCCAACCCCGCAATTCCACGCCTCTCCTGCTCCCCGTTCCATGCCCCGCCGAACCCCATCTCACCCATCGCGCCTGCAACGCCCTCTCCGCCTTGCCGCTCCGTCCGCGCGCGCTTCCTACGCGCCTCGTTGTCCTCCCCCCCGTCCCCCAGTCCCTCGTCCCCACCCGCCGGTAGCCATTGCGTTTGCCCGTTCCCCTCGCCCACCCCATCCGCGAATCTCACTGCTCCCGCGCCTACGCTTCCGCCTTCCGCCCCACCGCCCGCCGCGTGCGCGCCAGGCGCAGCCCGCAGCACCGCGCCCATCAGTCTCACGCGCTCTCGCACCAACCCGCCTTCCGCTCCACCACGGCTGGCGGGGGGCAGAGCCGGAGGGCGCATGGGGCGCGCGCGGAGATCGGAGTCTGCGCCACTGCGACCTTCCCCCGGCTGGGACTCTCTCACGTGCTGCTGCGACGGATCCATGTCCATAGGTGCGTAAGGTGCTGCGTCAGGTGCCACGTCAGGTGTGTCAGGTGCCGCGTCAGGTGCTTCAGGTGCCACAAATTGATCAGCTGCGTCAGCCCTTATCCCACCCAGTGCGTCCCCTCCACCCTCACCGACTACAGCGGATCGTCGACCGATGAAAGTAAATACCCGTTCGCCCTCTGCCCCTCCTGCCGCCTCTCTTCCCTCCGTACCCACGCCTGGCGCAGCTGTGGCAAGCGGGAAGGCGGAGGCGGAGGCAGCGGCGGAAGCGGAAGCGGGAGCGGGAGCGGGAGCAGAAACGGGAGCGGGAGCGGGAGCGGGAGCGGGAGCGGGAGCGGGAGCGGGAGCGGGAGCGGGAGCAGAAGCGGGAGCGGAAGCCGTAGCAGCGGCGGCGGCGGCGGCAGCGAGATCGTGCTGCTGCTGGCGGCGCCACTGACTGAGCAATACCTCCTGCTGCTGCTGCCGCTGGCACTTGCTGCGCTGCTGCTCCCGCTGCACGTGCTGCCGCAGCAGCTGCCGCGACAGCGACCCCTCGCGCGGAGCTACGTGGTTGATGTTGCGCATCCGACGGGGAAGCGGCGGGCTAATGCGGCGCGCGGGGGGGTCGGGCGGCGGAGCGGAAGAGAGTAGCGCGGGGGAGAGCGTGGAAGTGGCGGAAACCAGGTGATGCGCGTTGCCATGGGGATCGGCGGGGAGACATGGTGGGTCGTCGGACGGCGGGGAGGGGGACTTGGGAAAGGACGAACTAGGGAGGTTGCGCAGGGACGGGAGAAGCGTGATTGGCGCGGGGGGGGGTTGCCCCGCAGAGGGCAGTTGCGCGGCGTGGGAGGGGGGAGCCAGAAGAGTGACCGGGCGGAGGGAGGAGGAGGGGGGGGCGGGGACAGCGGGGGAGGCAGGTCGAGTGGGGGAATTGGCGGATGGCGGGGTAGGCGAGCGGGACGAAGGCATGTGCTCGACACGCGCGAGAAGACCGGTCAGAAGAAGGCCCACTGCTGGGCCCTCGATCAACTGTGAGAAGCGCCGAAGGTCCGAAAGTAAAAACAATGTAAATGGTTATTGTTAATCGCGAGAAGTTGCCATTCACTTCGTTCGACCTGCCGGCAACGAAGTCTAACGGCCGGGCTTTCCCTGGACTATGCGGCTGTCTGCAACGTCGGGTTAACGTGATCGCTAGCTCAGAGTCGCAAAAGCAGTCAGCCTTGGGATCGGGTTCAGTGTCGCGTCATCCTACCGAGGCTACCTATACGGCTGCACCCGGCGTGGCGCAAGATCGCGACGGCGGTTCTTTTTGTACAATATTGTACTGTATCAACTGAACAAATTCTCGTTGATTTCGCCAGCGATAGCCGCACAAAGTTCCCCGTTGGTGCCGTTCAATGCTTCGACAACCAGACCAAGAAGAAAAAGCTGACTGAAAGCGAGAGTGACGCGTGACAGTAGAATGGCCTGTAAAACAATCTGAGGTAGCTTTGCTTCATTGCAGGTCCTCCAGTTGAGGCTTTGGACTCTCACACGCAAACCCTCACATCACAACTTCACAATTATTCCATTCTGTACTAGAAGATATTAGTTGGGATTTGAAACACTAGACACCTTACAAACCTAACCCTAAAAAACGGTTCCTGGATCTCAACCAAGGAACGATCGAGAGACGTGGCACTGAGCGCATCTCTAGGAACTCGTGGTTGCTGTTGCTGCTGTGCTTCTGCTCAGCGGGTGAGACAGACAAACAAGCAAACCCTTCACTCACTCATGGCAGCTTCTGCTGCTCATTCAAGTGTTGCACTAGGAGCCATGTTTTTGGCTCCGTAACATGAACCAAATCCCTCTGGCCCTAACGGGTGGCTCTGGTGGCTACACCGTCGAATCTTTCGCTCACGGCCACGTATAGATGGATCGAACGCTCTACCGTTCCGCCACAATTCGCATTCTCATGCTGCCACGCGGCTGCCCCACTCACCTCAGAACCGCCGCCGGGAGCTGCCTACAGAGTGTATGATGAACCTTAAAGGCGGGGTGCAATTTCTTAGGAACAGTAGGGGGACAAAAATGGCATGTGAGTAACTTGAATTCTATTGGACGAAAAAACTGGAAAACAAGAAGAGGACAAACTTCTCGGCTCTGAACTGCCTGGGTCAACCTCTTCCAAGCTATAATACTTTGAAGTTGAAGTTGATAGTTGGGCCACGGCTTTAAAAGATTGAGAATAGATCCCAGCAGAGAAAATTCTGCACAGTATATTCCTGTTAAACTTCAGCCTCATATCACAAGCTGATAGTTTCTACCTGGAAGAACCATCCAGACTAACAACTTGTACAGTAATTCCTACACTACTGATGATTCTATCTCCACTCAGGTAGCTCTGCTGATGCCTTTTTTTACCCTATTGAAAGAATACAGAACCGGAAAACTAGCATAAGCACAGCTTCCAACCGTGACCCCCCTACACTGAAAGACTTTGTTGCTTGCCCGAATCTTCCTATCTTCGCAGTGTGACAAAAAAGAACAAGAAAGCCCTGCCGTAAAGTCGCCGCTTCACGAATCTGATATTTCCCCCTCGCGTGCGAAATCATTCCTTTGTAGGACTTTTGTGGGGCTCTCCTTCGTAGCCATCTTGTGGCTGAAAATGGTTGTACCTCCTCCCAGTAAAACAGGACCTTAATGAAATTGCGTAGGATTTCTACGTAGCCGCCCTAGCTCAGTTGGTAGAGCGCAAGGCTCTTACCCTTGTGGTCGTGGGTTCGAGCCCCACGGGCGGCGATGTTAAGATTTCCCGAGGTGTGGGGTGTGACTCGTCAGAGCTTTTGTCCCCCTCACTTGGCTCAGTGAGGACATGACCGTTTCTCATTAGTACTAGGTGCTATGCTTCTTCCGGCAACATACTGAATGATGTTATTGATCAGTCGGTGGTCACCAACCACTCTCGACTCTAGTCGCGCTACTGCACAGCAGACAATCCACTCCATCATGCTGCACCGTGCCAACCCTGCCAACCCTGCCAACCCTGCCAACCCTGCCAACCCTGCCAACCCTGCCAACCCTGCCAACCCTGCCAACCCTGCCAACCCTGCCAACCCTGCCAACCCTGCCAACCCTGCCAACCCTGCCAACCCTGCCAACCCTGCCAACCCTGCCAACCCTGCCAACCCTGCCAACCCTGCCAACCCTGCCAACCCTGCCAACCCTGCCAACCCTGCCAACCCTGCCAACCCTGCCAACCCTGCCAACCCTGCCAACCCTGCCAACCCTGCCAACCCTGCCAACCCTGCCAACCCTGCCAACCCTGCCAACCCTGCCAACCCTGCCAACCCTGCCAACCCTGCCAACCCTGCCAACCCTGCCAACCCTGCCAACCCTGCCAACCCTGCCAACCCTGCCAACCTGCCAACCCTGCCAACCCTGCCAACCCTGCCAACCCTGCCAACCCTGCTGGACCCAGTTGGGCGCCCCTCTGTCTGTTCATCTCGAAAGAACCATGATGCCACCGTTTCACCTTCTGCACTGCCTTTGCTCCACACGAGGGGCTTGAGGCATCACATCGCGTGGAATATGCAGATTTGACACTGAGTAGCCAGCTTCACATGCGGACAGCTAGAATCATAGGAGATTCACCTTACACCTACTCTCCCCCTCCTGCAGCCAATCACAAGGCTCTTCCTCCTCTCCCCTGCCTGTGCCTGTGCCCTCTCCCACTGCTGGTCCTCCATGAACAGTGACACTGCCGCCCGCACGTCGCCGCCCGCCTCGCCCAGGTAGTACTGCGCTGTTGGCTCGTCCACCTGAAGGGCTCTTTGCAACAGAGAAACCACCTGCGCAGTGCCATGTGCTGCCGAGGGTCTGAGAGAGGGAGGGAGTGTGTGGAACAGGTGGAGTTGCACAGCAGAGCAACCTGACAATCGAGTCTCCTAAAAAAAACAAAAACACCTGCGCAGATTCACGTGCGGCCGAGGGTCTGATCTGAAGGTGGGAGTGTGACGAGTAGATGGAGTAGCAGAGGGAATAGGGGAGAGATGGTGCGATGGTGTGATGTCATGATGTCATGATGTCAGGGAGAAGGATAGACACACAAGAAGAAACTAGGAAGGGAGCCATGATAGTCTTAGCACATGCTTGAGCATGACAATGTATGACACCCAAAACATGTGATGTGTCACCAACATCATGGCTCGCAAAATTCAAGTCAAGTAACGACACGTTAAGATAGAATGACAAGAAACGAGTACAGTTCACCATACCCCGTAGACATCCCCACCTACTTGTCCTTAAGTGCACCCTCCCTTTCCTCTCTCCCTCCTCCTCCTCCCCTCTCCCCCCATACGAATACCAACACAGCCTACAACAGAATACCATACTTGACCAGGACAATCAAACTCAATTCTTTAAAGTAGATGCACTCCCACAGTATCATTAGCTTATTACTATCACTCTCACTATAAGCACCTGTTGTTCCGTGCCTCTCCATACGATCGCCGAATCTCCCCCTCGTCCCCCTCTTGGAACACCAGCAGCACCTCCCGCCGCGCGTGCGAATCAAACTGGACGGCGCAGTGCCGCCGCACCAGCTCAGCCGGGCGGCGCGAGGGGGGGATGGGGATGAGGAGGCGCGTGCGCGTGTGGATGGCATGGTCGCTCATGATGTTGTTGAGCCGGCGGATGTCCATAGCCTGGAGGGGGTGAACACATCCACGGGGAAGGAAGCACATATGCATGGGCACGGGAAGCACATGTGCATGGGCACGGGAAGCACATATGCATGGGCACGGGAAGCACATGTGCATGGGCAGGGGAAGCACATATGTATGAGCCGTGAGGGCAGGGCATGGTCGCTCATGATGTTGTCGAGGGAACGGATGTCCATGGCCTGGGGAAAGACAAAGCGTGCACATGGGATACACATGTATAGGGATCACAAATGCACGCGCAGCACACATGCACGAGTGACGGAGTCGGTGCGGGCACGTGATGGTGTCAATCTCAAACATCCCACGTGGCAGCACCATCAGGATGCCACGTGTCAGCGTGACCCACCTGCACGTGGAAGCGCACTGCCAGGCTGGCAATGGAGTCGGTGCGGCCAATGGGGTGCGAGAGAGCGAACTCCGGCGAGGCGAGGAGCGAGAGAAGGGAGGGGGGGCCACGGCGGGCGGTGCGAGGAGTGGGGGACGAGGGGAGGGGAGGGGGGTGGGAGCGGGCACAGGAGCGCACTGCAGGAGCGGAAGCAGAATGGAGGAGAGGGGATGATAGCTTATCCCCCTTTGCCTCTGGCACTGGTGCTGCTGTTACAGCTGGTGCTGGTGCTGATGCTGCTGCTGCTGCTGCTGCTGCTGCTGCTGATGCAGATGCTGATGCTGGTGCTGATGCTGATGCTGGCGTTGGTGGTGCTGGGGCAGCGGAGGGGGGGAGGCGCAGGGAGAGCAGGCGGTGGGAGCGGCAGAAGGCAGCACAGCACAGCGAGGGGTCCAGGGCGAGCGGGCGCCAGCGGCGGCACACAGCCGCCACACGGGGGAGGTCAGCCTGACGGAACATCAAGGAAATGGGCGGGAGGAGAACAGCATGGTGACAGGGATGAAGGCAGAGCAGCACAGCGAGGGGTCGAGGGCGAGCGGGCGCCAGCGATGGCACACAGCCGCCATGCGGGGGAGGTCAGCCTGGCGGGTAACACAGGGTGGGTGAGGGGCAGCAGGGGGTGGGGGACACAGGGTGAACAGCGCAGCACAGAGAGAGTTCCAGGGCGAACGGGGGCAAGTGGCGACACAGAGCCGCCTCCACATGGGGAGGCCAGCCTGACGGGTCTCACAGAGGGGAAGGGGGGACAGAGGGGGGAGGGGGGGGGATGGGGGGAGGGGGGGAGGGGGGATGGGGGAATTGGAGCGCGATGAGATTACTCACGGCAGTCTGTAACGCGTTGCATAAAGCAGCAGTGGCATACAGCCACCACATGGGGGAGGTCAGCCTGGTGGAGGGAGTCGACTCAAAAATCGACTCACTACACGCGGATTATATGTGGAGAGGATTTTTGTTGCATGGCAAATTGGTTGTAACCTTAACAGGTTACTGGTACGCGCGCGACTTCCACAGTTGCTGCCTGGCGAGGATGCGAATTCGAACTTCAACGACGACGCTCCAAGGATTGAGGACGTGGCCACCTGAGAAATTTTCAAGGGTGACATGTACTGGTCCCCGTATTTCGGGCTGACCTGGTGTAGATAACCTAGAGATCAGTTTTTCTGAGGCTTCGTTTCTTCTTGAAGCGTAGCTTAGCTCTGTTTCTTTCATTAGCACTGATGAAGGCCTGCTAGGGTAGCCCCTTAACGGCCGAAACATGTTTGTTTTACTCTACTGCTGAAGTTCTTGAGCTCGGATTGTTGAGATCTAAGTTTTACAGAAGGGTTTTTACTGTCTATCTTTTGCTTTAAGCCTGAATAAGTTTGCTGCTCGCTGAGAACATGTCCCAAGACCAGTTGGCACTTACGCTTGACTCAGACGACGCCGAACTTAACGAGGGCAGTTCTGCTATTGTGATCCACGAGGCAGTTGTTCCCAAGACTTACGCGGGGTATCGCACGCACAAGCGACAACGCCTTCGTGAACTTGAAGGAGCAAATCGTACTGCACCAACTCGCGGACCGACATCGCACAACGAGCAAACAATTTCTCCTCCCGCCATGGAGTTGAATCCCGCTTCGAACGCTGCTCCTGCGGTAGCACCTGCTGTTGCTTCTACGAGCGCTAACCCGGCTGTTCCTGAGCAGTTCAACATTCCTGAGCGCTTTAAAGGCTGGACTGCTTTGGCGGTCAAGGGTTTTCGGGCGGATTTCAAATTACTTTTGAAGGCGAAGTCCAAGCTTCAGAAGATGAAGACGCTTGATGAGCAGGGTGTGATTCTTCACAGTATTCGCACCAAAGCAGTTGAGTTCCAGACAAAATACCCTTCTGTTCGGGAGAAGTCTGCAGCTTCGGTTGCTGCTGTTCATCTGGAGAATCAAAAGCGTATCCAGAAGGACTTCATCGCTTCGAAGGAGATGGAGGTCGAGGAGATTTTGGCGGCTTCTAACCTGCACGTGACGACTCTGGCGACAAAGCTTGAGGACTACCTGAAAAGTCTCTCGGAGAACCCTGACCTGGCGGTATCTGATGCTATCAGGGAGAAGTACAGGAAGATCAAGGGGGCCTGCATCGAGAAGGCGCAGTCCGACATAGCCATCGCCAGGGATGAGATCATCATCCAGGAGTTGGAACGGCAGAAAAAACGTGAAGCTGAAGATTTGAAGAAAGCTGCCGCGGCTGAGGAGATCGACAGAATGGAGCTGGATCCGACGGTCGACGCAATCGTTCAGAAGCACGTAAAGAAGGTCGAAGATCGGCTTCGCAAGGAGTTCGCGGCGAAGCTGGACAAAGAGCTATCTGCGAAGCTTCAGAAGATTGCGTTGGAGAAGAAGGTCTCTCCGTCGGCCACCGCCGCTGACTCTAAGCCCCAGAACAACAAGGCGAAGAAGAAGCGGGGGAAAAAGAAGAAATCTGACGCTCCTACCGACGGCAAGGGGAAGGGCCAAGCAGCACCGAAGCAGGCCTGGGTTCCAAAAAACGGAGGCAGCGGCCCCGCAAACGGGCCGCCAAAGAAGAAGTAACGGCGCGGGATCTCGCGCTTCTTTGGTTCGGCCGTTTGACTTCACGACAAGCCATGTCGCGGGTCCGAAACAACGGAGTGCATAACCTGAGTGCTAAGGTTTTAACGACCGATGAGCGACGAGCACTCGGGATGGGATTGAAGTTCGTGCCAACGCCTACCAGGAGCCCTTCCATCGAAGCAAACCTCGATCAACTGCATCGACGGATTTCTCTTCATTTTTTCTTCAAGGATAAAGGGGATTCATCTGAGATGTCACGCTTCCGTGTGCGCAACCCAGATTGGAAACCCGATCGGGATGCTGTCCCGGAGTCGGTTTTCAGGGAGGCCCACAACGACCTCTCTTACCTTCTGAAAGCGACGACGCCACGGCGGGGTTTCAATATCTCGTCAGGAATTCGCAAGGCGTTGCGCTCCCTCGCCGCCGACCGCAACATCGTCATCAAACCTGCAGACAAGAACGTTGGCGTCACTATCCTTGATCGGCAGCACTACATCGACCTTTGTATGGAACATCTCGGAGATGCGGAAGTGTACCAGCCGATTGAACGCAACCCGACGCCACGGGTTCTGCAGCAGCTACGGGAGTTGAAGGTGACGTGGGGACCGGCTTTTCCAGACAGTCTCTGGAAATATTTCTTTAAGGAACCACCCGGGGGATGGCGGCCAGCTGCGTTCTACGTCTTGCCTAAGCTTCACAAGAAAGTACCCGTGGGGCGACCGATCGCTGCCTCACATTCATGGGCCACGACTAATGTGAGCAAGTGGCTTGACGCTGAACTTCGCCCGCTGGTCTTGAATCGTCCTACGTACCTCCGGGATTCTCTCTCTCTGCTGACAACGCTCGAACGCACCACGTTTCCGACGACGGTACTTCTAGCGACGTATGATGTAGCCGCTCTCTACCCCAGCATTTCGATCGAGCGCGGTCTTGATGCGGTCAGCAGTTTTCTGATGAGGGAGAAACCGCAACTCACCCCACCTCTCATGGCCCTTCTGGGTTGGGTCATGAGGAACTCTTTTGTCGAGTTCGGCGGCCGGATCTTTCACCAACTACGAGGCACCGCCATGGGTACACCTGTAGCAGTCTGCTTCGCGATCCTGTTCATGAGCCGCCTGGATGAGTTACTGAAGGGGAAGTGGACCGGAACGTTACCTCTTTACCATGTGCGCTACATCGATGATGGTCTAATCGTATGGCCGGGGACGCGGGCAGATTTGGAAGCCTACCTGCGCACCTTCAATGAGCTTGATCCAAACATTCGGATCACATGGTCTGTTTCGGACTGCTCCATCGATTTTCTGGACGTGGTTCTCTTCAAGGGACCGCGGTTTAAGGAGCAGGGTACTTTGGATTTCGGCACGTTTCAGAAGCCGATGAATAAGTATCTCTATCTTCCCTTTGCTTCCTTCCACCCACGGCACTGCAAGGAATCCTTCATTCGCACAGAATTGAAGCGGTACCTGCTCCGCTCTACATCAGCTGCGACTTTCCTCGCAACGAAGAAGGCTTTCTTCGGCCGGCTTCGTGACCGTGGTTACCCTCCTGCTTTTCTGCACCCAATCTTCCAAGGCGTCACCTTCGCTCACCGTTCGTCACTCCTCGCCACTACCATCGCTAACCAGGCGCTCCGGCAACAGATTTCTCTCCCATCCCGTGGACCCCTAGTTCTGAAGACGCAGTACACTTCGGTGTCTGCTCGTCTCGGGCTAGGGGTCCTTTTGAGTCGACTCAAAAATCGACTCACTACACGCGGATTATATGTGGAGAGGATTTTTGTTGCATGGCAAATTGGTTGTAACCTTAACAGGTTACTGGTACGCGCGCGACTTCCACAGTTGCTGCTTGGCGAGGATGCGAATTCGAACTTCAACGACAACGCTCCAAGGATTGAGGACGTGGCCACCTGAGAAATTTTCAAGGGTGACATGTACTGGTCCCCGTATTTCGGGCTGACCTGGTGTAGATAACCTAGAGATCAGTTTTTCTGAGGCTTCGTTTCTTCTTGAAGCGTAGCTTAGCTCTGTTTCTTTCATTAGCACTGATGAAGGCCTGCTAGGGTAGCCCCTTAACGGCCGAAACATGTTTGTTTTACTCTACTGCTGAAATTCTTGAGCTCGGATTGTTGAGAAGTTTTACAGAAGGGTTTTTACTGTCTATCTTTTGCTTTAAGCCTGAATAAGTTTGCTGCTCGCTGAGAACATGTCCCAAGAGGGGGGGAGGGGGGATGGGGGAATTGGAGCGCGATGAGATTACTCACGCCAGTCTGTAACGCGTTGCATAAAGCAGCAGTGGCATACAGCCACCACATGGGGGAGGTCAGCCTGGTGGAGGGAGGGACAAGGGAGTGCGGTGGAGAGTGGTGAATACATGGACGGCAGCAGAGCCGAAAGTGCGGGGTAGGAAGCGGTGGAGTGGAGTGGAGATGGGTGCGGCTGGAAAAAACGAGAGCGAGCAAGAGTGGAGATGCGCGGCTGGGCCATGAGGGAGGGTAGACTGTTGGAATGATTGAAGGTGACTGAGAGATGGAGTGGGGGATGAGACGAGACAGAGAGGGGCGGAAGGGGGCAAAAACTTCGGGTGAGGAGAAAAGCGCGAATTTGGGGAAGGGGAGGAAGGGCGGAGGACTGGGTTGGGACCAAGTGTGTTGGAAAGGAGGCTGGGGGAGTTGGGAGTGGGGTGAGAAGGATTACCACGGCAAGAAAAGCTTAGTGTGGCACGCACTAGGAAAGGGTGGAATGGAATGGGGTGGAGGCAGGGGAAAAAAAACTTTAGGGAAGAAAACGGAAGAAAAACAGCAACTAACACTCTGACTCGATATAAGCTTACCACGCTCAGACGGCTGAAGATTTGCCGTAACACTTCCTCAGGAACCTCGTGCACCCTTTGTGACGCCGGCTCTTTGTTTTCCAGTAGCGAGGACGATGGTGCTGAGGCTACTAACGGAGCAGTATGTAACGAATCGGCCCATAAGGGTTGTGTGGATGGTTTAGATGGACCGTATGAGCCGCTGCCGCACTTTAATTCACCAGATTCAGTAACTGACCGTTCTTGTCCTCGCTTCTGAGAAACTCGATAATTGAGGTGATGTGTGGAACGCGGCACGTACTATCGAAGCCACTCTGCATGCCGGTGGTGCTCGCGAACTTGCCACTACTCTCGATATTAGAACTTGTTTTTACAGTATCAGTGAAGCAAAAGTCGAAGGATGAACTGGAAGGAAAGCACCCCATTGGCTGAGACCGCTGCTGCTGCTGCTGCTGCTGCTGTGCTACTGTACGCTCTTCCACTGTTTCTATTTCAGGACGTTGGTACTGCTGCTGCGTCTTTCCCTGCACTAAGCGACCGAGCGGGAGGGTAGATTCAATCTGCCGGACATCCTGCCGTTCGTTTGTACTATCGTCGTGCGATTGCGTAGGCGACTGATCGTGCGATACCGCGTGCGACTGCGCGTCAAGGCCTTGCCAGCGAATTTCAAATAGAGAAACGAGCGACGGCGCGGTAGGATGGGAAGCAGAAGCATGACAGGCGGCAGGAGACATCGCGCGACAAATTCTGCGACGACTTTGTGAACGTCGGCTGGGTCGCAGGGGGAGGCGAGGGAGGGACGGGGACGCACTTGAAGCTGATAGGGAACTTTGCGGGTGGAGGGGCGCGGAGAGTAGAAGGGGGGTACCAAAGGTATATGGAGTCAGAACGGAATTCGGGAAGGGTTGCAGCGAGAAACACGGAGCACCAATAGCGTCGGAGTTCCCCAGGCGTAGAGTGTAGTCGTCTGCGTAGGCGTCGAATAGAAACGAAGAGCGAAATTGATGGGCGAGTGGGTGATGGTGATGGATGGATGTTAGCGAACACGTCGCGCGCTCCACCTGTCGCATTCATTTTTCTTCGCAGTTGAATGTCCATCGATTTGGAGTATGTGATCTACACCCACAACTTGCATTGTTAATGAATCACTAGAGGCACTAATATCTTTGATAAATACTGTCATTATGTACACAAGTAGATCAGATTTCATGCACACGAAACACACGCTTGACAGATGCCAATATCGATACAACAACGCCATCAGCGCATTGAAGCTTAAAATCAATTTCCTCCTTTCGATTACGGTATTGAACGCACAAATCTTATCAAGCATCACTCCTCCGCACCGCAACCACCACCACAAAAATTTCTTCTCAACTAGTAGCTCATCGCCTGCCTCCCCCCCTCTGTGCAAGGATGACTCCAGAGGATACCATTCTGGCCAGAGGAGATTTGGGAGGCCGAGAGCGCACATCACATTCCTCCAAACTCCTCCCAACCCCACCTCCGGCTCTCGCCTCACAGCTGGACTTGGGTCGAATCGCATTCAGCCCAGTACTTGCTTCTGTTTGGCTCCTTGCAAATCGTCGCCCTGGCGGTTCCGGCAGCGGCGCTTCAGCAGCAGTCATTGCCGCATTCAGCCTGTCACTGGCTTCTGTTTGGCTCCTTACAAATCGTCGGCCTGGTGGCTCCGGCAACGGCGCTTCAGAAGCAATCATCGCTGCTACCTGCGGCGATGGCTGATCGCACGACACACTTCTGGCGAGCATGTTACTGCCAGGACTCATGGATCTCATAGAAACTTCCGACTCGGTAGAAAAACATTCTGGAACCAGCTGCTGCTGCCCCCGCTGCTTGCCCCGCACACCCCTCCTAGTGCCTCCTCTGGTTTGCGGCACCTCAGAAGGAACACCCATGCTGCTCCCACCTACACTGCTCTCACATGCCCTCATGGGGTTGCTGTCAGGAGGATGTGGTCGTTCCATGCGGACCCCCCTTCTCAGCCCATTCTTTTCTGCATAAGGTGATTTGGGCAGGGAGGGTGACTTGGGCAGTGTCGATGATTTGGGATGTGCGGTTGACTTGGGCAGGGAGGGTGACTTGGGCACTGTGGATGACTTGGGCAGTGCGGGTGATTTAGGCAGAGAGGGTGACTTGGGTAGTGCGTGTGACTTGGGTAGTGCTGGTGATTTAGGCAGAGAGGGCGACTTGGGAAGTGTGGGTAATTTGGGCAGCATTCTTCGTTCCCGCAGTTGCTGCCCGTAGTGGCTGTTGGCAGGCTCAACACTAGTATGGCTAGAGCTCGCCTGGCTGGAGCAGTCATCACTCCACTCCTCCGCCGCCCACTCTGCTGCCTCCTGTCCACCGTCCCGACCCCTACTTCCCCGCCGACCATCCACCTCCCTGCGCTCAGCCCCAGCTGAGGCATCGAACACATTCCGGCCACTCTGCCCCCCCGCTCCTTCCCCGGTGGAGCTGACCCGGGAGGTGAGGGACCAGCGTCGCGTGAGCACCGGAGGACTGGGCAGAGGGGAGGGAGACGGTGAGATTCGCCCTTTGGCGCCCGGCGTTGAGGTGAGGCTGTCAGGTCCACCCGGCTGAGAGAAGGCAAAGTTGTCATCGTCGTCATCCTCCTCCTCATCTGAGTCATGATTGTAAATGTTGTGAGCAGAGGCAGCAGCGTCAAGAGCATCAGTGGGTGACAGAACTCTACAGGAACGCCCCTGCCCCGCTCGCCCTGAGCCACAGTTTTTGGGTTCTGTCTTTGACCGGCCCATGGGTGGGGTGAACGGGCGGCTTCTGCCATCTGTTCCTCCGGTGCCAGCTGTCGTATCTGTTCTCCTACTTGGCTCACCGAGCACTAGCCTGTCGACTCTGTGACTCTTGTCCGCACCATGATACCCAGAAGCAAAAGCATTAGCAGTAGCAGCGGCAAGGTCTGGTGTGGCAGCAGGGCTCTTGCTGCAGCGGCTGCTGTGGCTGCTAGCCATGCTCCCCATGCTCACGAAGCTGTATGTGCTTGATGCCGTGTTGCTCCTGCTGAACGCACCCCTTGCCCCACTCCTCACCCGCTCACCACCACCGCTGGTAGCGCCGTAACCGCTCCCGTCACCGTTGTGAAAACAGTTACCACCTCCAACACCATAATCTCCCTCACCACCATCGCCGCTGCCCACATTCCCCTGCCAACCCCTGCTTGGTAAAATTTCAATCGGCTGCCCGTCGCTTTCTTTAATGGTCCGGCTTTTACCCAACCTCCCAAACACCGGACCACTGTAGAATCCGGAACCCAGCCCTCCCCAGGTGGGGATGGTTGCTTTGGAGGAGGTGGGTCTGGTGGAGGTGTCACCTGATTTGCTGCCAAACGACAATCCCAACCGTCCACTGTTCCACATGCCATGCGCGTCGGTTTTGCCCTTCACGGCCTCGCCCAAATCGCTAGTGTCGTCAATTTCGCCAAGCTCATCCGCGAGTCCGGACTTCCGAAACCCTCCATAAGCACACTCAGTCTGTTCAATTGAGGTAACCCTACCGGCGGAGCCGCGTCGCCTTTCGTCACCGCCATGCCCTAGCGAACTATCGTCAAAATGAGCGTTTCGCGCGTCTGGTGGCGAACCCTTCCAACGGTTAGCGGAGAACGGACGTGGCAAAGGCGATTTGCTACGCGGCCGAACCCGGGTAGACGCAGCGTCTGCTCCGTTACAAGTTTTGCTCCGATTTAACACGCAAGTTTCTTCGTCGCCGCGATTCCCCGTGAAACCGCGATTACCCGCACTTGCACCGAAGCTCTTACTCCCAGGACTTATGCTATCGCTACCACCGTTCCTACCATCAGTAGTACCACCACTACTACTAGTACCGTTAAGACTAGACGCCCTGCTCCACGTGGCGGTTTTCACGAGCGCGCGCGCAACGGTTGTCATCGACAAGGAGCGCGGCGAAATCTGCGGTAGTACGCCTCTGCGCTTCCCGCCGCCGGGGCCGCTGCTGTTGCTTTCCGCGTTGCTCCTGCCGCCGTCGTTTCTACCGCCGCTGCCGCGCGAATCCTCTACGCTTGCCGTCCGCCTCAGCTGCCTCGTCCCTTCGCCCTCTCGCCCCTCCGCCTCCTCCCCTTCCCCGCCTACCATATCCCTCTCGTTGAGCGCCGAGCGCCCTTCAACTGCCGCAACAGCCGCCGCAGCAGCGGCGGCGGAACATCTCCCCCTGCTGAGCCCTCCCATTCCTCCAGCTACCGCTCCGCTCCCTTCCCTCCCGTTTCCGCCACTGCCGCGGGACTTCCCCCCGCCAAACCCGCCAAGCCCACCGCTAGCGCCGGGTCGTGCGATGAGCTTCAAGAGGTTGCTCTCGTCGTCGTCTCCCGCCCCTCGCTTATCCCGCCAGCCATCCAGCGTGCGTTCGCTCACGCGCTGCCGTCGCTGCAGCGTGGGGCGGCGGAGCGAAGGAACCAGCAGGTTCCATATGCTGTGCGCCTCGAGAACCACGCCTTGGGCCTTCCGCGTAGCTTCCTCCCAGTCGTCCGATTCGCGCCGCGGAGATTCCGGGATCCACCAACGGTCGGAATCGACTCTCTTCGACCCTCCCGCGAACCCTCCAAACCCTCCCGCGGCCCAGTCTATAACTCTCGGTAGAATCGTCTCCACTATAGTCGCCACCTGATTGGCCAGAACCAGCGGATCGTCCGCCGCCACAACGACCAGCTTCCACGAAACTTCCGTTCCCAGGCCGGACCGCAGGCGCACGGGGAGCGCGAGGAGCGGCAGCACGGGAAACACGTCGCCCGGGTCGCGCTCCTTTGCGCCGACCTCCACCGCCTCCATCGGCGCGTTGTCCAGAATCACGGGAAACTCGCCGCAATCATCGGGACGGCTGAACGGGTCGCTGGGATCGACGGCAGAGGAGTCGAGTGGATAAAGATCGACGTCCGCTGCGGAGGTGCTTTTGTCGGGAAGTGCGGAGGAGGGGGAGGTTGCGGAGGTGACGGGGGACGGCCCGAGAACGCATGTTTGCGGGATTATTCCGAGGTTCCACGGCCGCTGCTCCGAGTCGTCGACTCTGACGGCGCCGTCAAGCGCTAGACGGCGACGGCGACCGGCGAGCGACGCGGCGAACGAGCTAGACTTGGAAGAAGTGCAGATGAAGTTGAGGAGGGGAATAGCAGTCGCCGGCTTGCCCCGCGCTGCAGAAGCGGAGGCGGCGCGCGGGGGGGCGCGGCGGGGAGAGTTACTCGCGCCTGGGGAGGCGAAGAGGATGACGTCATGCCAGATGGAGACGATGTCGCCAGCGCGGATGAGCGGAAGGAGGTTTCCCTGAGGCAGGTGCGACATGAGGCGACGCGACGATATTGATACTTGTACAAGGTCGATTAGCTGACTTTGACGGACTTACGCACGCTTGACGAATCCTATGTTACGTCTGCTTGGCACTACTAGTTTGTTGATAGGACGGGACTTCTCTAGTTTTTTCAACTAAGGTCATCGCAACGCCTCTAAGACAAACCCCAACGGGATGTTAGCGGGAACTAACTTACTGTGTACGAGCTAGAAGAGTGAGGGAACTCATGTTGTAAGGGCGTGGAACATTGTGATGAACAAGAAGTCGTGACTTGTTTAGTCCAGTCCCACTCGCACCCCAAAACGTCGCCAGTGCCTTCTTTTGGCTGTGAAATTCGCTGCTGTGACAACTTGGCTTAGGGGGAAGGCTGATGTCAGGCCCGTGGTTGCGGCGTGGAGTGCATTAGGAAGGAATCTGGGATTGAGGAAGAAATGAAGCAAGAGAGAGATGTGTCGGTGCAGGGAAAAAATTGGTCCTCGTCGCAACCGCTGTACACATTACACACATTACAGATCCACAGAAGTTGCGGTCGTCTTCTGTTGCGAGCACGAGAAGGAGGGCTGCTTGTCGAACTGTCGAACAGCGCCACCACCAACCGCCCTTCCACGTCATCGTGAAACTGCCAGTCACGGAGGAGGGGGAGGGCAAAAGTCAATCACTCGAGGGATTCTTGAGAGTGGGGAAGATCATCGCTAGCGATAAATTCACTCGCTTGAAGAGCACTCACAGCAGCATGGCAGATGCTTCCAAATGCTTCGGTCCTGATGGAGCAGCAAACGGACAGACCAGTTTTCTGGAACATACCAGCGCACCGCATTCATCGTTCTGACCTGTGTAAATGGTCCCTGGAATAAAAGGACAGAAAAAAACTCACATTGAGAGTTTTGGGTGTGAATTTTGCTAATCTTGCATCTCATCTAAGTTCACATGTAAAACTAACGCATATAATCGATTCTTTGTTTTGACAAGAATGTCGGAGGGAAACAGAGGCTTCAAACTGCCGATGGGTAATAAGAAGGGCACAAATGCATCATCGATAGTCAAATAATGAACGCAATCTTTCGTTGGGAAAATATGCGAAATGCCAATCAACACAGGCCTCGATACCGCGTAGGGTAACACGTTAATGAGAAATAGCACTATATTGTGTGTTTTCACGTATGTGGTAAGTGATTTAATGCGTTTGGTCACTAATAGCTGGTGGAGATTCACGCGAATTATCATAGAAGAAACTATTTGTCAAATGTTATACATTATGTTGATAGGCTTTAGTGAGTAGGGCTGCATGGGGTGCTGGAGCTGGAGTTTCTGGCACTGGAACTGCTAGTTCTGAGGCGACTGGAGCTAGAGGAACTACTAATGTGGCACCCATTGCGCCTCACCACCGCTACGACACGCGTCTCCAGGCTCTTCGCCGACTTGAGCGTGAGGAGCAGGAGCGGTTGGAGCAGGAGAGGCAGGAGTTGCGGCAGCTAGACCAGCAGGAGCAGCAGCAGCCGCAGCAGCCGCAGCATCAGCAGCAGCCGCCCCTTTTGCAACAGTTGTTCCCACCAGTGAGTGGCCTTCGGGCCCTTGGTCTTCCGTCCTCTCCCCCTATCCGCTCACAGTCTCCTATCGCGTACGGTCCTACGTTGCCTCCTCCGGACTCGGCTCCCGCTGTTTTCTCTCCTCCTCAGTCACAGTCGCCTCCTCCAGTTCTCCCGCACGACTGGACCACTCGTTGTCCTCCGCGTGCTCGACCCTCGTCTCTTAGAGTATAGGCATGAGTGAAATTGACTATCGAGAGGATTGGTACAAAGGAGAAACCTAAGGGGTTGTACCCCACAGTAAGTACCCCGCTAAGCCTACCCAAACTGTAACATATATATATATATATATATATATATATATATATATTTGACACACCCCCATAGGCAAAGTGGGGGAGAACAGAGGGTCACAAGACCAGTCAGGAAATGCAAAGCAAGCTCAGGGTGGATCACAACGTCACAACGCAGTCTGAGGACAAGCAAAAGGCCACAAGGCCAGTTCACATGCAGAGATATATATGTAACAACAACAGCACAGTGATCTCTACCTACCAGAGCAAGCATGCAGGTATACATATAGATCACAGTACAAACAAAGCCTACAGCAAGTGAGGAAGCGTGGGTACAAGGCCCAGCAAAGTACAGAAACGCTGATGATCACAAGGCGGAAGTGCCTTGGTGAATATATCAGCAGTGTTGGCCCGAGTGGCCACGTGAGCAAGACGAAGCTGGCCACGCTGCTGCAACTCTCGAGCAAGGAAGTAACGGAGAGCGATGTGCTTCGTTCTGTGCTCCAGTCTGTGCTCCTGACACAAGGCAATGGCGGCCTTGTTGTCGACGTACAGCACTGGAGGAGAACGAGGCTGCTCTCCCAAGTCGGTCAGCAGGTAGGTGAGCCAGCGTAGCTCTTGTGCAGCCATGGATGTGGCGTAGATCTCAGCCTCACAACTGGAGCCGAGAACTGAGGACGAGCGTGTAGAACGCTAGGAAACTGAACCAGAGCCAAGGCTGAAGGTGTAACCCTGTGACGACCGCTGCGTAGCCTGGTCGTCAACCCAAGAAGCGTCAGAGTGACCAGTGAGGACAACGTCACCCCGTCCTCCAAGCACGAGCCCCATGCCCGATGTACTGCACAAGTAGCGTAGTACCCTCTTAGCAGCATCCATGTGCACCTTTCGGTGCCAACCAGGAGCCACGTAGCGAGCCAGAAGGCCAAGAGGGTACGCAAGGTCAGGACGAGTGCAGGTCATCAGGTACATGAGGCAGCCCACTAGCTCTGGGTAAGGACCACTCGGCTCTACGGACTCGTCCGAAGGTGGAGCTGAGAGCGAGTGACCTGTGCTGAGGAGTGGCCTGTGCTGAGGACCAGGTGAAGCCAAAGCGCTGAAGGACCTGCTGCACCATGTGTGACTGAGTCAGTGTGATGGTGCGGCGTGCTCTATCCCGGGTGATCTGCAAGCCAAGGTAGCTGCGCAGCTCACCAAGGTCTGTGCACGTGTGTCTCTTCTGTAGCTCCGACTTCACCAGGGCGAGAGCCTCAGTGTCAGCAGTGGAAAATACCAAGTCGTCGACGTACACGAGGATGTAGAATGGCGGCAGCGAAGTGTCGGTGCGCAGAAACAACGACGGGTCAGCAGTCGACGGGGCAAACCCAAGAGCCGCAAGAGTCGTCCTCAGTGTGTCGTGCCACTCACGTGGCGCCTGACGGAGACCGTAGACTGGCCGCCGAAGGCTCCACTGGGTACCAGGAGGGAACGACCCAGTGAAGCCAGGTGGGCGGCGCAGCCAGATCTCCTCGTGCAGACTGCCCTGTAAGAAGGCTGTGCTGAATTCAAGAGAGTGAAGCTCGTAGTCACGCTGAGCGGCAACGTGCAGCAGCACCCGAAGAGTGGTCATCTTCGGGGTGGGGGAGAAGGTCTGGAAGAAGTCAACTCCCTCACGCTGACTGAAGCCTCGAGCAACGTAACGAGCTTTGAAGACAGGTGGAGAACCCGGCGGCCGCTTCACCCTGAAAATCCACATGCCACTGACGATGTTCGCCCCAGGTGGGGGAACCTCGTCGACGTAGGTGCTTGTGGACTTCCAGGAAGCCATCTCTGCGTCCATGGCTGTCTGCCACTGAGAGGAGTAAGGACCCGCGATCGCCTCAGCGTACGATCGCGGAGTCGGGATGTCTGGTGCATCCGGGTCTCCCTCAGGAGCAAGCAGCATGGCCACGAGATGAGGCGCAGCGGCTGCAAGGCACTCAAGGTCCTCCTGCCTGTCCTCAAGGACTTCCGTGCCAAGAGCACACTCACTCCCGACGGACGGAGGACAGACAGACTCAGACTCAGCAACAAGACTAGCGGCGTAGTCTAGACGACAGGCAGCAGCAAAGTCAACAAGCTCAGCGACAAAGGCAGACGCAGTAGCAGACTCAAAAGACGGGTCAGTGACAACAGTAGCAAGCAGACGCGGGACAGTAGAGTGCTCAGCACGAAACTGGTCAGACGCAGGGTCAGCGACGACATGCAGAGAGGACGCAGGCGGAGACGGCAGAGGAACACGCGACGGAGGAGAGGGAGGACGACGGACTACAAGGTGAGGGCCGGGGACAGCCGGCTGACGCTGACGAGGAACACGACTACCGGAACGACAAGAACGGACAGGTGAGACAGGACGCGACGCAGGCTCACGACGCTCAGCAAGGCCCCCAGTCTGTGAGAGAACAAGTAGAACGAGGAGCCATAGCTAGGTAAGCCCTAGCTAGGCAAGGGAAAGTTTAGGCAAATGAAGAAGGGTTTTACTAGCAGCAGTTGGGATACATATAGCAAACCCTAGTTGGGTTGTACCCGCTATAGAGCATCCCACTACAGGCTAGACAATAACATTCTGACACAGTCTGCTCAGTGTACGGAGAAGGAGCAGGCAGCAGTGAACCAGGCTGTAACGGAAGACCAGTAGACGAAGGGAGACTAAGAACCTGGCGAAGCGCAGAGTCAGGCGGTGGCTGAGACGACGGAGACGGCGGAGCGAAGAACAGGCGCGGCTGTGCAGGGCGACCAGCACCAGCAGCTCCAGCACCCCCAGCAGCTCCAGCACCTCCAGCTGCTCCAGCGCCTCCAGCAGCTCCAGTACCCTCAGCAGCTCCAGTACCCTCAGCAGCTCCAGCACCTCCAGCAGCTCCAGTACCTTCAGGAGCTCCAGTACCCTCAGTAGCTCCAGCACCTCCAGCAGCGCCAGTACAGTCAGACACAACACCGCCAGCCCCAGCAGCTCCAGTACCCCGAGTACGAGCACCTCCAGGACCAGCTACACTAGCACCTCCTGCAGGCAAAGGACCAGCACTACCCCCTGCCCCAGTGACGCCAGCAGAAGAACCCCCAGCAGTAGAGTCCTGAGGTGCAGAAGTGCGACGTAGACGGCGACCGTACCAGTCGTGCAGCTGCTGGTAGGTGAGAGGCACACGCTGACGAAGACGGCTA